CGAGGCATGGCTGGTGGCAATATTGAGGAGCTTCTTGGTGGTTCCTGGGCCCTTACATACCAGCTTGTGAACCAGGGACTCTTAGGTGGTCCTAGACAGGAAAGCTCCTATAATGTCGGCATCGGCGATGTTAGGCAACTCGTTGCACTACCGAGAGAAGCGCCGGATGTACCCACGAAGGGTTTCTCTGGCCTTCTGTCGGCAGTTCTTGAGATCCCATGGGATCCCAGGATGCTTGTACGTGCCCTGGAAGTTCCCCACGAAGATCTCCTTCAGGTCCGCCCAACTTTGGATTCAGTTGGGCGGAAGGTGTTCCAACCATGTTCGTGACGAATCGGCCAGGAACAATGGAAGGTTGCGGATAATAAAATCATCATTATCCGCTCCACCAGCTTGGTAAGCAAGCTGATAATCCTTGAGCCATAGTCCAAGGTTTGTTTCCCTAGAGTACTTTGGGATGTTGGTGGGTGGCCGGTACCTTGGCGGGAAGGCATCGTTAAGGATGTGTCATATCGTCTCGGTAGGCCAAGGCTCGAACTTCGGTCCTCGCCGCTGTCATATCGTCCACCACGATGAGGGTGATAGCCACGGCTAGCTCCCTCTCTTGGGTCATAATGGGTACGCCTGTAGGCGTCGAGGGTGTCGCGTGCGTCACGGTTGCGGCCGAGACGCTGATGCACCGGGACCGCGGTGCACTGCCTGCTGCCTTGTGGCGCCTGGTGGATTGACACGTTCTTGCCAAGGCGCTCTGAGGGCATGGGCTGGCTGGCATCGAGCTCGCATCGCTGAGATAGCAAACTCTCAGCCTACTGCGCTGCCGCACGCTCGAGCAGCGTGTGAATCTCACGGTGGGCCTAACAAACCTCGGGCGTCGTGAGCCCCGGAGGCCCATAGAGCAAGGTCGCCATAGCAGCGATGTTCTGGCTCACCCGGGTGAAGTGTGGGAGGGCTTCGTCGTCCGCGATGATCCTCCGGTTCACTTTGCGGGCCAAGGTGCACGCACGCCCACCGTCTCCATGGCGCTTGATCTCTCGATCGAGCTCCGAGCATTCCTGCTCGAGCTGGAGTTGTGCCTCCATGAGCTCTTGGTGTCAGGCTTTCAGCCGCTCCACCCGCATGTGAGGCGAGGCCGCTGTCTCCCCCTCGACCTCGTCGTCGAGATCATTCGTCGGGGTAGCCTCCTCTTCGCGGATGCTTTCAACGTGTCCCTCGGGGGTACCTGCCATAAAACATTCATGAGAGGGATGATGACTCCCCCTGCTGGAGTTAGAGCCAGAGGGCAACTCTGATGCTCCCGCGAGGAGGTCGTGGAAAGATTCCACGACATATTCGGTCATTCCCACGAACCTGTCGTTCGCGGGGGATGGAGGCGTGTGTTGCGCCATAGGGTGGCCATCAGTCTCTGCGGCGTTGTGGAGACTGAACGGGAGCACTGTCGGGGCGCTCTGGATGAGGTATTCCGGAGAGAGTGGCTCCCCTCCGACGAGCTATGCCATGACGTTGGCGAACGAGAAGGTGAGGTGGCACAGGTCTTCCCGGGACGGCTAGGGTCCCAGGAAGGCACCGAGCTGGCGCTCGAACCTCCTGTAGTCGAAGTCGAGGAGCTGGTTGCTTCCGGGGGCGTGGACCCCCGGCGCATGCAGCCGCAGCTCCTCAAACGCCTCAGCGATTACGTCGAGGCCGACGGAGGGGAGAGGTTGGATAGCGGCGGGAGCCATTGCCAACTCTCCCTCCACCGTGATGATGAAGTCTAGGTCCCCAAAGCGCACGTGGGCGCCCGGGGCCTAGCTGAGGTTGTGATTATCCATTCAAGGCCTAGTGTTGATGTCGGGACACGCAAAAGGCCCCTACCTAGTGCGTCAACTGTCGGTGTTTCGAGTAAACACCAATGAGTAAATTTATATTATTGCGCGTCTGGCTCAGATGGTGTGCTAAGAGGACATGAGGTTTATACTGGTTCAGGAGGAATGTCCCTACGTCCAGTTCATTGCTGCTGCTCGTGTTACTAGCACTGAAAAGTTCGTAGTAGAGGTTACAAACGGGTAAGAGAGGGACATGTCCCAAGTCTCTGATGGAAAGAACGAATGGGTACCGAGAGCTCGGTCGCTGCTCAGCTATGTGTTTGAGGTTCGATGCTAGTGGTTTTGGTGTGATGCAGTGCGATATGCGATGCGATGCCCCTTAATGGGACGCCCTGCTTTCCCTTTTATAGGCCAAGGGATAGCACGGGTTACAATGAGAGGCAGAGCAAGTCCCTCAGGGTCGTCGGGCTTTTCTTTTCCTTTGTACGGGCCTCGCTGACACGGCAGGTGGTGACAAGGACAGCTCCACGTCGGGGGCCTGTCTGCTGACAATGCCATGCCCTAGCATTGTCAGCGGGTCGTCACGTCCCACTCCGCCCCAGAGGACGGCGCGGCGAACCAGCGTGCTGATCAGCGGCCGTACAGGGAGTAGGCAGCATAGTGACCATGCATCCGTCACTGTGGATGATATGAGTTCCCTGGAATGACATGTCGCGGGGACGGGTCATGTTGAGATGTGATCGCTCCCTGCATGATGCCAGAAGTTTGACCTGGGGTTGTACTTTCTGGCCCGTAGTGGTTGGTGGCGGCGTGAGCTTCCGTTAGGAACCATGTTCGAGGGATCGGGCAAAGCAGAGCCAGCCCTCAGACGTCGGGCGAGTTGGAGCCAGCCCTCGGGGTTTGGCCGAGGCGGAGCCTACCCTCGGGGGTCAGCCGAGGCGGAGCCAGCCCTCGGACGTCGGGCGAGGCGGAGCCAGCCCTCAGACATCGGCCGAGACGGAGCCAACCCTCGGGGGACGGCCGAGGCGAAGCCTACCCTCGGGGGTCAGCCGAGGCGAAGCCTACCCTCGGGGGTCGGACGAGGCGGAGCTAACCCTCGGGGGTCAGGCGAGGTGGAGCCCACGGCCTCAGGGTCCACCGAGGCGGAGCCAACCCTCGAGGGTTGGACGAGGCGGAGCCAAGCCTCGGGGGTCGGACAAGGTGGAGCCTGCGGCCTCAGTGTCCATCGAGGCGGAGCCAACCCTCGGGGGTCGGACGAGGCAGAGCCCATGACCTCGGTGGTCGGACGAGGTGGAGCCCAGCAAGAGGTGTAGTCGCGCTCTTGACCGCTCGGATGAATTAACGTTGATGGTTATTAGCTCCTCCTCTTCGGGTACCCTACTATTGGTCCCCGACACAAATATTTATTGCGAGTTTGTAAATAAGGTCAGAACCTAGTACACGAAAGGGGAAGCTTGTGCTGGATGCCAAATTGCCAATGCCATGTTCAGCTGTGCTGTGAAAGCTAGCAGGTGCAGAGTTGGGACTGGAATAGCACATTGTAAAGGCCTTGTCATGGTTGCCTTTGGTACCGACTTCATTTAGAATGCACCAGCAAAGAGGAGAATTCATGTCTGGCGGGGTGAAAAGTGCAGGACCTCAACTGTTCAAATAGCATGAATTTAGACGACTTACCCTTTGTCAAAGATACAGACTTGCTGTTGTTTTTAGATTGGTAAAAGCCTGGGCGGGTGCAAAAATCGATCCTAGTGATGGTTAAGCTTGCTAAAGTGAGATTAAGGCAATGGGATGTGACATACCATGGTGTGCACCTTTGTCATGCTGATTTGCTGAGCACAATGAAGTTCTTAGTCATGTTCGATACTCCCTCACGTTCCAAACTATAGTTACTTTGGCTTTATCGTAAGTGAAACTTAACTTTGATTAAGTTTATAAAAAAAATCTATAGTATCAACATAGTGTATTTAGTAGAATAGAATTTGTAGATGCTAATATATTTTTTCTTTAAAACATGGCCAAGGTAAGAAAAGTTTGGCTGAAAACAAAGCTAAATAGAACTGTAACGAGAGTTTAAAAAGTACACAGACATGAATAATGAGCCATTAACTCCGTTAAACCAAATCATTGAGCTACTTGAGCTGGTTTGCACTTTGCAGGACGACAGTTGGTTCCATGCATCTTTATTCTTTGGCTCCAGCCCCAAGCAAAGAGCACCCGCATATATCATATCAGCAACCGAGTGGGGAGCTCATCGCACGCAGCTCTCGGACTCTAGCATAGTACTACCTCTCCTCTGTCCTCTACACACACACGTAACAAAAATACACAGCAGACAGCAGACAGCAGACAGCAGACAGCACCACCGATCGCAGCTCAGGATTTTATATATACATACACTGTAGCAAGTTGCCAAGGTACTCTATGCTTCTTAATTTCATATATGGTTGTCACTACTAGTTGGCACCATTTCTCTCTCTATATATATAATTAACCACGCGCATCTAATTAACTTTAAATGGGCTTGGATTAAGGAGTGGAGATCCATCTAGAAGCCATGGAGTAGAGATGGGCTAGACCTCTGGAGCTTCTTCAGTTTGCTAATCTTTCCTATACAGAGACCCATCATGGCAGGGCGGAGAAAAGTCGAGGCATCCCCCTTTCCCCACCCCCAACACCACAGACACCCACTCCATTGGAAATATAGACACGGTGCTTTGAGAACATACACCACAACCATCACTAATTTTATTATTAGTGGTTTTTGTTTTTGCAATAATCACTCTCAAAATATGAGTGGAGAGATGGGAAACATACCTAGTATATATATGTAATTTCGTATTCTACTCTATGATGTACTCCAGCATTTATATATGTATGTAATGTAAATAAATAGCTCCACGCGTCACGTCGTCCAAAGTCAGTCATGGGCTGCCTTAACTCATCACCCCCTTTCCCCATCCATTCTCTCCTCCTCCCTCCCCCCCTCTCTCTCTCTCTCTAGGTCTCACTTCAAGCTCTAGATAAGTACGGACAGCTAGCAGGCACGACCTGGGCTGCAACGCGGTGGAATGCTAGATCGGCGCAGAGGGGGACCGCATCCCCGGCGTCGTGTATCAAAGCTGCGATATGCTGCTTGATGCAGCCGGCCAATTTGGCTGAGCGGATCGTGCTCTGTAGCATCCACGGAGGACGGCACAAATGACAACGCTCAGGGCCGTGATGGTGGTCACCGTCGCCCTGCGTGACGGTACAGCGTTGGAGTACCCATGTGGCGAGCAGGGGCTCAGCGAGTGGTGGCGGCAGCCATGTGAGAAGGGTGGCGAGCGGTACCCGTATTGTACATACCGTACCAGAATTCTATTTGAATTATAGTCGAAAATTGATAAGATTTTTTTTTTCGCGACCGCACTCAACGAGCACGTTTTTTATTAAGAGGGTAGCAAAACGGTTACACCGCATAAGCCACTGCTTATACAACACTGAAGGAAGAACTAGAAAGAAATTGAAAAAGCGCTGGGCGAAGAAGGAACCAAAGAAACAAAATGTATTGCGACCAAGCGGCCACCAACGGGGCTAACCGCCTGAAACCTGCCGCTACCCACAAGTTAGCCTCCTCATTGATCTTCGGCAACATCCACGCTGGCATTGTTGCGAACCGCTCGAAGACCCGACTGTTTCTCTCTTTCCACATCATCCATGAGACTAGTAGGAACAGGGCGAAGAAGCCCCGGCGCAGGTCCTTCGGCAACTGTTTTCTTTCGGTCAGACACTGATGGAGGGCAGTGCTCTCATTTTGCGTCGGCTGCACAATGTCAAGCTTGGAACGGGAGCCTAGCCTAGACTTCCCTAGTGTAGACGCAATCGACGAGTAGATGATCCATCGTCTCAGCAGCCTGATGACAGAGGGCGCACAGATCGCAAGCCTGGAAGCCACTCATCTTTCTGCGACTGGCCGTCCAGCACCTATTGTGGATCGCGAGCCAAGAGAAAATTTTGACCTTGGGTGGAAAGCCGTCCTAGAAAATAAAACATCTTGATTAATTCTTAAAACCTTGTGCACAAAATTTTTTCATCACAGATGCAATTGTTAAGATTGATCTCCCACCAGTTAGGCCCAACGGCCTAACTGGGCCTTGTCCTCGCGCCCTGATCGGGGGCGCCCAACCCTACATGGTTGGTGGCCCCCCGTCGCACAGCGCTATAAAGAAAAGGTGGGGGCCGGGGCTCGCAGTACGAGGTTCACCGCGCCGCCAGTCACCCCACCGACATCATAACCCTAGACCCAATCTTGAGAAGGGGCGCTGCCAGCGACGGGAAGCACCACCGACGCCGGCAACGCCACCCCGACGCACACGTCGCCGCCGAGGATGCCACAGCGCCGACTCCCTCTCCACCGAACGTCGCTGCCGGCGCGCAGATGGCGTCCGTCAACGAAAACCCGGCCGGAGCTTCGACCACTACGGCTTTTGATGGTTTGCAACCTATCACCCCCTTTCTCTCTGTCTCTCTGTGATCCTGAACACCTATTCCTACTACCAATACATCCCGATCTGATGAACATGGCTAAAAACGAAATCTAACAATGGTACCGGTGCCACGGTTCGACAAGAAATCAGATCAGGTAAGTGAAACCGACCGATCTGATGCGGATCGGGAAAGAAAATAGAAAGCCGAACCCTAAGACCTAACCCTAATTTCCCAAATCAAATCGAAAGAAGGGAAAAGGGGAGGGTCGGATTCCGAGAACCCTAGACACAAATCCGAAAGAGAGAAAAGGGGAAGAAGAAAGAAAGAAGGGTCGAAACCCTAACCCTAACCCCAAGTTTTCCATTCGGATGAACAAAAAGAAAGAAATCAAAAGCAAAGAAAACGAATCGGCAAGAACAAACCCTAACCTGAATCAGCAAGAACAAACCCTAACCCTAACCCTAGTTTTTTCCCCATTCGGATAAACCCGAAAAGAACAACTCAAAGAAAGAAAGGGGAAAATAGGGGTAGGGTTAGGGTGCATCGGATGAACTTTTTCGCCGGCGCGGGAGAAGAAGCCGAGCCGGGGGCGCGGGCTCGCCGGGCTCGGCCAAGGGAGCGCCGCGGCCAGGCCGCTCGACGGCGGCGTGCTCACCCCTTTCTCTCTTCTTCGTCGCTCTTTCGCTCTCGGTTGCGGCTCGCTGCTGCGGCTGAAGAGAGATGAGAGAGAGCGGCAAAGAAGAGAGAGAAAGGGAGGGGTCGAATGGCTAGGGTTTCCAGGGCGCCGGCCGCGGCGACGCTTTTGATCCGCGCGAAACGGCCACTCGGCCGTCGGATCAGATCGAACGGTCGATTTTCGCTGGGCCAACTCGCCGGCCCAGGCGGGCGCGAGGGCGCGCGGCACTTTGCCGGCCCAGGCCTAGGTTGCGGCCTAGGTGCGGCCTGTGCGCGCGAGGACAGCTGGGCCGAGCCGTTTTCAGCGCGTCTTGGGCCGCGCCGGGCTAAAATGAAAGAAGGAAGAAATAAATTTTCTTATTATTTTTCAGGAGCAATTTTAATGCATATTTTTTGATGAATTTGAATGATTTTGATACAATTTTCTGTGCAAATTTTATCCAACGATATTTTGCTCAGAAAACAGTGAATTTTTTTAATGCTTCTGGAAAATAATAATATGAAAAGATTATTAATATTTTCGCTGTGCATGATAATTATTGTTCTCTTTGATTAAATTTGAACCAACGGGATAATTTAATTTTAAGAGAAATAAATTTTTGATAATTTTGATGCGATTATGATATTGTTATTTTCTGACCAACGTTGTTAATAACAATATTATAATTTTGATCCATGAGAAATTGTGCATTAATTTTACTTCTGTCCAACGGTGATGTAAAATGTTTGCATGGATGAATTATAAGTTTTAATTTGACCAACGTTGAGTTAAAGCATGAAACTTTATGTATAAATGTTCTTACTTACTCTGGTATGATTTCAGGAGGCAAATGCATTGTGAACATTGCCAACATCCCGACACTCAACGGAACCAATCACCGTGTGTGGCGGGAGAAGTATGAATTGGAACTTGCGTTGGGAGAGGTCGATTTTGCCATCACCTCACCGTGTCCTACTGAGCCAGAGGACCCGGTGAGAGGTGACAATGAAACTGACGCTGATTTTGCTGCTCGAAAGCGTGATCATGCTGAAATAAGAATGAAATATGACCTTGAACATAGGCAATGGACTCTCTCCAACCGCAAGTGCCTGTTGGTAGCCAAAGCCACCATAGAAGAACAGATAAGGGGCTCAATCCCTGAATGTGCTACTACCAAAGAATATCTTGAGAAAATCAAGAGTCAGTTTACTAGGTCTACCAAGGCCACAGCAAGTTCACTGATTAAGAAGCTTATGAATGAGAAATTCACTGGTGGTAGCATAAGAGAGCACATTTTGAAGATGAACACTACGGCATCTAAGCTAAAAGAAATGAATTTAAAGGGGGAGGATTTCCTGATTCATTTGATTTTTGCTTCTTTGCCAAAAGAATATGACACCTTTATATATTGTGAACTACAATATGCAGCCTGAAAGATGGGGCATAGAAAGACTCATCTCAATGTGTGCTCAAGAAGAGGAGAGCATAAAGTCCTCACAAGGTGAATCTGCTCATTTTGTGAAGGATAACAAAAGAAAGAACTTTAATGGCAAGAATTCTAAACCACAAGGGAAACTTAAGTGGGATAAGGCCTCTTCCTCCAATTCACAGGGAAAGAAACCCCAGGATTCTGAGAATCAGCAGTATGGTGGAGCTGAAAAGGATCAGTGCAAGCACTGCTTCAAGAAGGGACACTACAAGAGGGATTGTCCAGACTTCCTGAAATCTCTGCTAAAGAAAGGTGATGAATTTATTACATTTGTAGATGAATCCCTGTATTTATGTTATGATAAATCCACTTGGTGGGTTGATTCAGGAGCAACTACTCATGTTGCAAATTCTTTACAGGGATTAAGTGGGACGAGAACCTTGCAAAGAGGAGAAAGAACGATTAAAGTTGCAAATGGAGTGCAAGCTAATGTTGAAGCCATTAGAGATTTTTCTTTAGAATTGAATAATGGTTTTGTACTTAGACTTAAAGAAGTACTTTATGTTCCCTCTTTGCGTAGAAATTTGATAAGTGTTTCGAAACTTGATGATGATGGAATTGATTGCCATTTTGGTGATGACAAGTGTAAGATACTGGTTAATAATAAATGTGTTGGTCTTGCCTTCCGACAAGACAAGCTTTATTTATTATCTCTTGCTGAGAATGCGAACAATGTATGTGATGAGAGTGTGAATGATTCCCCATCTACGGATGTAACTAAGAAGCGGAAGAGAATTGATACTGTCTCTTCGAAATTATGGCATTGTCGCTTGGGCCATATTTCGAGGGGGAGAATGGAACGATTGGTTAAGGAATCAATTGTTCTGCACTTAGAATTTTCAGATTTAGAACAATGTATTGATTGCATCAAAGGAAAGTATGTCAAGAAAATTAAGAAAGATGCCAAACGAAGCACAGGAATTTTAGAAATAATCCACACAGACATATGTGGTCCTTTTCCTGTGAAAAGTGTGGATGGTTATGACTCGTTTATAACATTCACAGACGACTACTCTCGTTATGGCAATATTTATCCAATTAAAGAAAGATCGGAAGCATTGGATAAATTCAAAATATTTAAAACTGAAGTTGAAAATCAGCACAATAAGAAAATCAAGATAGTACGATCAGACCGAGGTGGAGAGTACTATGGGCGACATACCCTATATGGCCAAATTCCTGGACCATTCGTAAGGTTCCTACAGGAAAATGGCATAGTTGCTCAGTACTCCACACCGGGGGAGCCTCAGCAGAATGGAGTGGCTGAAAGACGTAACCGTACCTTAATGGATATGGTAAGAAGCATGATGAGTTACTCCACATTACCGATTAGTTTATGGATGGAGGCACTGAAAACCGCCATTCACATACTTAATTGAGTACCAAGTAAATCGGTGCCTAAAACACCGTATGAATTATGGACAGGAAGGGAACCCTCACTCAACCATTTACGTGTGTGGGCCTGTCCAGCTGAGGCAAAAGTGTTTAACCCAAATATAGAAAAGTTAGACTCCAAGACAGTCAGCTGCCATTTTATTGGCTATCCAGAAAGATCGAAAGGATATCGCTTCTATTGTCCTGACAGACATACGAAGATTGTAGAAACAAGACACGCTGTGTTCTTGGAGGATAACATGATCAGGGGGAGCATGGTAGCACGAGAAATCAGCCTACAGGAGAAGCGGGTACATGTACCCACTCCGATGGTTGAAGAACCATTCTTCACGCTACTACTTCATTGTTGCACCGGCGACAAAGGGACATCAGAGTGCAAACACATTGCAAGTTCTCCCGTGGCGACAATGAATGAACATGAGGAACCTGTCCTTGAGGAACCTATAGAACCAAATATTGCACATGAGGAAGAACAACAACAGCCAAATGTGGAACAAGTGCTGGAGGCACCTAGAAGGTCTCAAAGAATAAGAAGATCAGCTATTACTGATGACTATGAAGTTTATGAAACAGAAGAATGTCAGATGGGGGATGAATCCACCTCATTTGAAGAAGCCATGAGAAGCGACCACTCATCAAAGTGGCTTAAGGCCATGGAAGATGAATTGAAATCAATGAGTACCAATAAAGTTTGGGACTTAGAAAATATTCTTAAAGGAGCCAAAACAGTAGGCTGTAAATGGGTCTACAAAACGAAATATGACTCCTAAGGGAATATAGAAAGATTTAAAGCGCGACTTGTGGCGTAAAGGCTTCACGCATAAAGAGAAGGATTGATTACAATGAGACGTTTTCTCCGGTCTCATGTAAAGATTCCTTCAGTAATTATAATGGCACTTGTAGCCCACTATGATTTGGAGTTACATCAAATGGATGTAAAGACGGCTTTCCTAAATGGGGATTTGGAAGAAAATGTTTATATGGCACAACCGAAAGGTTTTGTCGTAAAAAAGGAAAGGAAAATATGGGATGCCGCTTTGAAGAAATCAATCTCATTTAATTGAAGCAAGCTTCAAGACAAGTGGTATTTGAAGTTTGATAGAACGATAAAAGGTTTTGGGTTTGAAGAAAATGTTGAGGACAATTGCGTTTATGCAAAGTTCAGAATGGAAAGTACATATTCCTAATTTTGTATGTGGATGATATCTTGCTTGCTAGTAGTGATATCAATCGCTAATGGAAACGAAGAAATTCTGTGTCCTCAAACTTTGATATGAAAGATCTCGGTGAGGCCTCGTTCGTTTTGGGGATAGAGATTCACCGAGACAGGGAGAAAAGGGGTTCTAGGATTATCGCAAAAAGGCATACATAGAAAAGGTCCTGAAGAAATTTAGTAGTATGCATGCGTGCGATCCTTCACCTGCTCCTATAGTCAAGGGCGATAGATTTGGGAACATCAATGTCCCAAGAACCAATATGAAATTGACCGAATGAAAGCGGTACCGTATGCTTCAAATTTGTTGGAAGTTTACAATATGCTCAAGTGTGTACACGCCCTGACTTAGCTTTTGTTACCGGGTTACTTGGCAGATATCAAAAGAATCCAGGAATTGAACATTGGAAATTAGTGAAGAAAGTCCTGCGTTATTTGCAGGGTACGAAAGGCCTCATGCTTACGTATAGAAGATCTGATTCCCTGCAGATAGAGGGGTATTCAGATTCTGATTATGCGGGAGATGAAAGAAAATCCACGTCAGGATATGTATTTACTCTCGCAGGAGGGGCTATATCGTGGAAAAGCTCCAAACAAACCGTGACTACATCCTCGACAATGTATGCCGAGTTTGTAGCATGCTATGAGGCAACGGGGCAGGTGAATTGGCTGAAGAAATTCATACCCGGATTGAAAGTGATTGATGATATAAATGAACCACTGAGATTGTATTGTGATAACAATCCAGCGGTACAGTATGCTCACAACAATAGGTCAAGTGGTGCTGTCAAACACATTGACATAAAGTACTATGTTGTAAAAGATAAAGTTCGGGATCTTATAATAAATCTTGAGCATATAAGTACAGAGAAAATGCTCGCGGATCCGCTTACAAAGGGCTTACCACCCAACGTGTTCAGAGAACACGTAGCCGGCATAGGTTTAAGGGAAAGCCTATGATTCCCGAACATACGAAGGGCCCAAAGAAAGTTTACATTTCAAAACGAAGAAGCGTATTGTGGCTGTTAGTCTAACAGCACTAATTGCTGTGACGATGGGACAGTTCTATGCACTAATCTGTGATGAAATAGGATGGAAGCAAGAAAAATATGAATTAAAAGTTTTGAGTATGAAATTAAAGAACGAAGAATAGATGAGAGATCAAGGGGGAGAATGTTAGGATTGATCTCCCACCAGTTAGGCCTGGGCCTTGTCCTCGCGCCCTGATCGGGGGCGCCCAACCCTACATGGTTGGTGGCCCCCCGTCGCACAGCGCTATAAAGGAAAGGTGGGGGCCGGGGCTCGCAGTACGAGGTTCACCGCTCCGCTAGTCACCCCACCGACATCCTAACCCTAGACCCGATCTTGAGAAGGGGCGCTGCCAGCGACGGGAAGCACCACCGACGCCGGCAACGCCACCCCGACGCACACGTCGCCGCCGAGGACGCCACAGCGCCAACTCCCTCTCCACCGAACGTCGCTGCCGGCGCGCAGATGGCGTCCGTCAACGAAAACCCGGCCGGAGCTTCGACCACTACGGCTTTTAATGGTTTGCAACCTATCACCCCCTTTCTCTCTGTCTCTCTGTGATCCTGAACACCTATTCCTACTACCAATACATCCCGATCTGATGAACATGCCTAAAAACGAAATCTAACAGCAATAATTAACTAAAGATATATAAGTTTATTTGCTTTTGAGCACATGTTAAGTTCCAACCAAAGAAAAAAAGAAGAAAAAGAAATATTGGAATTTCTACTCTCTGCTGCTTGTGCTAGTCGCTGTGGGTTTGTGGAGTGAGTGGCCTTCTTAACTAGTTAATTGTTGGCATCAAACAAAAAAAATGTAGAGGTTTTTGGCGTTTGACATCGAGACGGCGGTACAACAAATAGCTCCTTTCTTAGAGGACACAAGCAACGATGCACCTCGGTTCATCTACTTCGAGGGATGGGATGGATTGGGTGCTTCTACGGTGCTTAGAGCTATAGCAGAGCAGCCTGCACATTCTTTACGGGAAAAATTCGAGAAGATCATCCACATTGACTGCTCGATATGGAAAAGCCGAAGAGCATTGCAAAGGGTGATCATAGACGAGATTAAGCTCACTCAACAGCTAGCGGCTGATTTTGACAGGCAAGATGAGGAGGAGGATTTCAGTGGGGTTGACCAAGGCTCCAGAGCTGAGATTAGAGACATAACAGGAGTGATAGGTCGATACCTAGTACAGTACAGATGTTTAGTTATCTTTCACAATGGAAGTAGTAACACAGTTGACTTGGCTAGCTTTGGCGTACCAATGCTCGAATTATTAGATACTAAGGTACTGTGGACCTTCAGAGGATGGCTTCGCCTCAATAGAGAAATTCCTGAAAAGGTAGAGAATTCACACCTTTATTTATATTTATGCTTATGGTGACCTTGACGATAATTGGATGGCATACCTTGAGGAAGAGGCTAGAGAAATCGCTTTGCACATGCATAAGCTTGGCCTTGGTGTTACACCTAGAATAGCCACAGAGTGTTGCTTGTACCTATTGTCATTGAATAACCAAGCTAAGAAGACGATTGACTACAACTGGGCAACCCATGCTTCCTGCTACTGGGTTTGTGATGGGATCATAGAGGGAGGACAGGACAATCAGACATGGGATGTTGCTCACGCTCTGCAGCAGCATATAAGATTAGAATGGGCTCAAGTGGTGCTGGGTGGAGAGATGCCCCAAGTTGGACATTGTCTTCGCGACTAACTATTATTGGAGATGTTTCTCTCAGATGGAAATCTTTTGGGCGGCTCATCTCTTGATGGCCCGTTCTATTTGGAGCAGACCAAGAAATCCAAGGTTGGATGCAAGTGATTTATCGTTTACACAACTGCGGGCTATTCATCTGCACTTCTGCCCGAGGCTCGGATATGTCCTCCCGATGGCTTCGAACAATACCTTATCCAAGGTGCTGGAGACTCTCCACATACACTGCTGCGGTGACCTCAGACAGGTGTTCCACATGGAGCAAGAGTTTCTGGAGAAAATAGAGGCCTTGCATGAAAAATGCATGCTGGAATTCTCAAACCTCAAGAGCCTGCACCTGTATGAGCTCCAGAGTCTGCAACAGATATGCGAGGCCAAGATGTTTGCTCCCAAGCTCGAGACCATCTATATCAGAGGATGCTGGAGCCTGAGGCATCTCCTGGCCACTGGCAGTCGCTGCCGCGAAGATGGTCGCCTTGTGGCTGTGGACTGCGAGAAGGATTGGTGGGACAAGCTGGAGTGGGACGGGATGGAGTCTGGCCACCACGCCACCCTCTTCGAGCCGAGCCATTCCAAGTACTACAAGAGGCGTCACCTGAGGGGCACGGTTCTCCGGTGAGCTAGCCGACGTGATCACCTATTTACTGCTGGCTTTCTTCTCCAGGTACGTACACACATGATCAAGCAACTTCCTCCCCTTAATTTGTAGTAATTTATTTCAAGTCAATTTCATTTCTTGTTCTGCATACTGATGTTGGATCACTCCCTGTAGATTAATCTGGTGTTGGATCGACGGGATGATGACAGACAGTGCTTTCTTCTCTGTCATTGGGTGCTTCCATATATATTATAGCAGTACTGATGTTGCTGCCGCTGCTGTGGTCAACCATGTTGGTTTGCGTTGCTTGGCAAGTCTTCGTTGTGTTTTCTTAAGAATGAATAAATAATAACTTGGTTTCTGATGCTATACCTACCTACTTGGATTTGCATCAAAAGTTAGTTACATCGGTGTTTATGTGTGAATTCGTGTGTATGTCTCTCTTGAGAGACTGGCCGACTGATGTATCATTTGGTTTGGTTTGCCTGGTTATCTGTGTGCGTGTGAGCTTGAAAATTGAAATAAGAGGCTGGGTTTGATTTCTATGCCTCCACAGAAATCAACCCCATGGTGTGCAAGTGTTGGTTTTCAGTTTCATTGGGTAGTGGACACAATGTATTAATGGTTTGGTTTTCAGTTTCAGTTTGTGATCCATGCAGCAGCATACTAATGCTTCCATCAAATTATTAATGGCTTGGTTTGATCTATGTGGAGTGTTAATTGATTATTTGTTTCTGGTATGGCAGTATTCGTGTATAGTACATGTTTCGCTAGCTCTATCTAGCTATTGTATAGGTGCATTCAGGGATAGAATAAGCAATAGCAGTGGCATATACTGATGGTACTGACGGGGAACTGAAGGTGTCAGAGTTGTTCATGCACTTTCCATTTCGACATCATGTACTTCCTGTTCCGATGGACCACAAAGGCATGGAGGTTTTCACACGAAACTGTCGGTTTTACCCAATGAGAGATTTTACCCAACAGTGGACTTCGACATTTCCCCGTACGAGAACTCCCGCTACCTGGGAAATGAGAGGCTTAGTGCACAGTTAATTCACCATGGCGACGGCCAACGGGCGTGCGAAACAGGGGGCCCTAGCGAATTGTGCCCTACCCAACACATTGTCTATGGGTGCATTCAGGCAAATGCAAGTTCGTTAGCTGCTTCGTCATCCCAGGTCTAGCTGCAACGGTGCTTCTTTCTTTTTTTGTTTTGCATTTGCATAGCTTCAGAAGTTGATTTGGGACTTGGGAGCACAAGTTTTGGGATAACTTGCATAGGTAGCCGTTCTTATGGTTATGGATTCAAATTGTTCATCTGACCAAAGTATGAGCATCTATAAGTGCATATTCCGAATTATTATATTAAGACTTGCGATGGTGTTCGCAGAACCAGAGGATCTCTGTTCTTCCGCTGTTGGTGGCCTTTTTTTTTTGGGAGTTGGTGTATGAGGAATGGGGTCATTCACTAAATTTGAGGAATGAAGATGCATCACCCCATCTAGAATGGGTTGGTTCCCCAATCCAAACACTCCATTTAAGAACAAACTGAGAACCATATACATGAACGATGGGAAGAACATGAATGCTGGTAGCCACAGTGAGTAGATATTAAATACTTCACTAAAATTGGTACTTGCAAAGTTGCAATATTCAATTGTGTGTATTTGAGAATTTAATGTATCTTTTGGTTACTGCATATTATGTGAGGTATCAAACAAGTAAATAATTATTGACTTTTCATTTCCTGTTGCATGTTGCTTTACAGCACCAAATGTGTATATATATAGAAAGCAAAGCAATCACTATCCTGTATTCTTGGCCTATTTCCCATTTGGTTGATTGCGGCTCTTCAATATAGATTTCTTAGGAAAACAAAAGGTTATATCACGAACTTCACTCCTGTACCTTCGTTCACAAATTGAAATAAGTTGCAAGTTGCAATATTCAATTGTGTGTATTTGAGATCTTCACTCCGGTTGATTCCATTATCGTTATGCTGCTAACGTCCGATAACATGATTTGTTGCGGAAAAAAGTATCTATGTTGCTCCTGGAAGCAGTATGCTGTCCTCTTTTAGATCATCCATCCATTTTTACTATATATGCACCTGCCAAGTTGGTCCATATTACCTGGGATGTCATAAAATAATTTGTAGTACTCTGATTTTATTTAATATCTTGGCTAACATGTGTTAACTAAAACATTTAATTGTTACTACACTACCTCTGTTTCACAACATTTGTCCTGTCCGCGTACCTAAGAGGCATGGAAGCTGAGTAACTTAGATGAAATCAGATTGTTCTTGGTCTTGTTGGGTGGATGAACAATTGATCTATCCAGTGAGTACTAGACATTTTTTTTAAAAAAATAATTGAATACGATGCTATCTAGGTATGTGTACAGTGGGCCTGACAAACATTATGAAATGGAGAAAGTATTAGACAGTGCCTTAGGCAACAACAATATACACATATTTTGTTGATTTATGGGGCCACTAGCGTTTTGGTTAAATGAAGAATTTGCTAGTTGCCATTATGTGGAAAATAGATCAATAAGACACATTTTAGTTTTCATTGATTCTGCAGCACTACTGGTATTTACCAGTAAGATTGTGTGAGTTGAACAAACTGATACCAACTGTTAAAATGCAAAACAAAGTGATGATTAAATGCACAAGTATGGTGATGCCTTCATAAGGGGCAACAAATCCAATTCTCTAAATGTCTCCTCCCCTGAGAACTGTTTCATCGTCTCCATCCCTTTTATTTTCTGCTTGTGCGATACATATATCCTGATCGATGCTTGTTGCCCAAATGCCGCATCAGCACGTCGAAGCGGGACCCTTACTGATGGCGTATAGACGGATTGGAGCCCTGTGTCCTCCCTTGTGTGTCTGCTTGTAACTTCAAAGCCGTTAACTTTGGATGGTTGCGCTCTGACTCTGATGCACCCTTTCAATCTCTGTACTCGCTGTCTGGAGGAGGTTGGGGAAAGGGAAAATGTGCCGCACGATTTCATGGGCTTGCCAGATGCTATTTTGATGTAACTGACATTTATTCAGCTTTCCATGTATATGTGGTATTGCTGGAATATTGCTTTAGGGATATAGATAAGATATTGTGTTTGCAGCACAGCATCGTGTTATGTCGTTTCATCGTTAAGTTAATGGTCAGTATCAGTTCGTCAATGTTCTGCTTTGAGTTTTAGACTCCTGTGGTCGATTTGATCCGGCTGGTGTTCGTTCTGCCGCCACCAGCGGTGCCCGATAACCGCCTTGGCGCGGCACAGCACCCTGGCTCGCCTGCCGTGTTCTATCTGTTCATTTGCCGATGGACGAGCACTCTGGGCTATGGCGCGTCAGATGCAATAGCTGGAAGACTGCCCTCAGGAAGTCAGGACTGCTGCTTGGCCGTCCTGGTGCCCTGTCTGATCATGCTGTCTCTTCAGTCTCGTACACCACTGCTGTCTGTGTAAAGCGCACGCTTTCTATCGTTTCTTTCTTTATTCTTTTGTCAATCAGTTTGGAGATAATAGGGAGTTTAATGCATGCTGATAAAGATCTATTTATTCGGGGCTACTTTTTTTTTATGTGCAACGAGCATATATTTATCTTCCAAAATACTTGTGGCCACAATTCGGGATAAGATCATAAGACCGACCATTAGTGTTTCCACTTTCCAGCGATGCGCATGTCTGATGATTGTCCCTGCTTCCTGTACTCTCCCTGAATTCATCAGCCTCAGCAACTCCTGTACCGCCTGGGGAATCAATTCAACTCGCATCATACTGTGCAGTGAGTGCATATCTACTTGGATATTTGCAGGGGCAGCAACTCACAACCAAATACACACAGGTATGAGTACAACACCACATGATACCAGGAGTACATTCTTGTATACAGCATGCGTCAGCACGAAAGATTTTCATCCTCGAATCAACCAATCGATCCAAGTAATTCGGGTACACAACCAAACAGTACACTGTCAAAGATAGAAGCATCCACTAGATAAAAAAGAAGCACTAGATTTTCCGATGTGGTTACCAGAGTTCAGAGTCTACAATTATCAGAGGTTCAACATCATGGCGATGGATGGATGAATTACTATAAGACCGAAGGAAATACAACATCATCATAAGTAAAACAGGTACACAAATGCGGGGTACATGGGCAAGCCAAAGCCTAGCAGCTCTTTCCCTCGACTCAGACTTGCCTCCTGCATTACAGAGTGGCAACACAAACAAGTAAACACCTTCACCCTCCTCTCCTACCTCCCGTCGACTAACCTCCTCACCAATGCCGTTTTGCGGCCTCCTCCCAATGGCCATTTAATCTACATGGCGTTTTGTGTAGTGATAAAATCAAATGTTAGAAATGCCTAATAGGAATTAAAACGGTCAGAAGTCCGTCACACAGGCTGCTTGCCCTGGCAGTATTGTCCAAGTCATCAGCCAAAAATAAGATGCCGTAGTAGAGCTTTAGATACCATCATGTGCTGGCACATTGTCGTTAACCAAGTGGGACCTGATCATTCAGGCATCCAGCTACCTATCTTCAGTGTTCAGAGTTGCCCCCTCCTATTTAGCAGTCTGTGCCACTGTGTCTTCCTTGAGCTCCGTGATAACCTTAAGAAGGTCCACTGGAGTTGCAGCAGGGTCCAGCTCATGGCAACCTTTTGGGGCATTGTTGCCTTCTTCACCGGTCAGAAGACGAGAAGGAACTCGATGCGAGAACCGGAACAGCTCTTCCTTCGGTATCCTCCTGACCTCCTTGGGATCCATGTGTCTGTGGAAGACAGCTTTGAATCCGGCAACCTTCAGCAATGGGATGACAGTCAGCCCTTGCTCCTCAGTGAAATCATCAATAACTTCTACTATCTCATACTTGTATATCACATCATCAGGCGTAAGCTCATTCCAATCAGGCGACCAGTTACGGTACAAGGCCCATGTATCCCCTTTCTGGGGAACAATCCTGATGATGCCACGGGGACCTTTAGTCCAGCTCACTTTATGTG